GTACAAGGATGGCAATTCTTGTGACAGAATGCAATACTGTAAACCAAAAATATTTTTCGCCACAGTTTTTATTCACAATTTGTTGGTTTGAAATCCATCTGGGTCTACTTATTTTGTGACTGAAGAAATATTCTACAGAAATGCATGATTAAATTTATGGTTAGCAGCAAAAAATATTCACGAGTATAAAAAGATCATGAAATTCGCGGATATTTCTCGCATGTGAATAAAAGTTGGTTTACAGTAACAGCCATCAGAAGTTTTCTGATCTGTGTATACCTTGACTTTGTCTACAGTAGATTGCTGCTTGTCACGGATCTTCTGTGTCATAGCACCACTGTTATCTCTCTTATCTTGTAGCTAATTCAATAAAAAAAAACTACATAATTAACTGTATTTGATGCACAATGTGACATTTATTTCTAGATAAGAACAAAAAACACTCTCTTAAATACAAATACAGTGTAAACATTAACAGACAAACAATATCACATATCCTACAGCCTTTCTAACCATGAAAATAAAACACTAACTTATAAAGAATGCTCAACATCCTAACTTCTTTTCAGAATCACAATATCACATATCCTACAGCCTTTCTAACCATGAAAATAAAACACTAACTTATAAAGAATGCTCAACATCCTAACTTCTTTTCAGAATCACTTATTTCCATATCAATGAAAAGTATGATGTAAAGTAAAACTGTAATTATGTACAAGTCAACAAAAATTACATCACCTGTTTTTAAGCAGGGTATAACATTATTATTATTTTTTTTAACAACATACCTCATCTAATTTTTTTCTTGTGTCCCTCAGTTCATGGTCATGAATGGTGTATTCTAAAGATCTATAAAAAGTTGTAAAATATTAAAACCATGTTTTAAGAAAAAATAAATTCAATGTCACTAAAATAGGATAACATGTTCTGTAGTATACAAGATTTAAATACCTTAAATATTTAAAATATTGCTATATTGCTATGATCTTTCCCAATACACTGATAATAGAATCAGGTTGGTGAACTGTACATTGATAAATGATGACAGATATAAGAGTACCTCCTCATTTTGTCCCACTTCTGATATTCTTTAAGCTCCTCTTTCTCATCTTCTAACGTTGCTAGTCTTTCTTCTATATACTTCAACAGATCATTAATCTTCTCTCTTTTACCCTCTGTTATGACAAAGATTCTAACATTACTCAGATGGAGACAAATTAATCACTCACCCTTATAATAATTATGTGGACAATAATGGTCTGGTAAATATAAGGTTTTTTTCTGTTGTTAAGTTTCCAACTTACCAGTTTCTCTTAGAATTACTTTACTTTCTTCTTTCCTTTCATCATACACTTTTGTTCCAGCCACCTCTCTAAGAAGTTTGATTCTCTGAGAATCAGGAGCTGTTGCCATTTGATTAATCTAAAAAAGTAGATAAAGCTGATTTGTCTTAACACAACCTCCCATGATTCATTATGTTTTTATTTTGAAATACATATAGTTTAAAACCTTAGGGGAAAATAACGTACCTTTCCCTGCTTAACAATATAGTATGGGTTACTTCGAGAAAACCCAGCACTCTCTAACAAATTCATAACATCACCCTTCCTGAAATTTACAAAACAGACATGAGTGAAATCTTACACGATTCATTATGGCTAAAATGTCAGGTACTTTTTTACACACACACATATATATATAATTCGATTCCTTTACGAGCAACTTCGTACTTACGTAACCATTTTCTTGTCTAAAAAGTACTGATCTTTCTTGGATCCAATGACACGTCTGAGTACAACTTCATCTTTGTCAATCTGAAAGAAGTAACAAGACACATTATACCCTCAGCATATCTGAAAATGCTGTACATCTAGATGTACAGAAAAAATTTAGATTACTGCTCTGAATGACAAATGTCACATTATTCTCTAGACACTGTCCACAAATATATTAAATGTAGCTAAAAACTTAAAAGTCTCTAAAAAAAAATCTCCTATAAGGCAACAAAACACACAGATAAATTTTTATTGTAATTGAGATTATAATTAATTACCCTCTATTTCAAACATTGAATAACTCACTGGTATTCGATTATCTGAATTGTCAAAGATAATCTCCACAAAGGCTGAAATAACCCTTGGTCCTGTTCCTTCATGGAGTAGAGCTTGCCTTTGTTCTGGTCTAAGATGACTGAATTCATCAGACAAGACAAACTGGATAGCTAGAAAAACCAAAAAGATAAACAAGTTCAAATATTTCTATATCTTTTGGTGCAAAATTGCTTCCTGACCTGAATGTCATAACCAATTCAAAATATATAATACATGTATTGGGTCAGACTGCTTCCTGGTCTGTATTTCCTTTATATTATACACATTTTGAATAACATTAATAATTTGAAATGCCAATCACACTACCACATTTAAATCAGGAGCACTTACCATAAAAAAAGTTACTTTTCCCTGACCCATTTCTGCCAACTACAAAGAGAAAGGGCATCAAGTAATAAATGAGATATGCACTGATTCACATATAGTAAAAAGTACGAAAATTTGTTCTCTTTAAATAAATACCTATGACATTGTGCTTTGGGCTAAAAGGTTCCACAACAGTTTGATCCCTGTAGCTTCTAAACCCTTGGATAATTACCTAAAATTTTTAAAACATAGCACTTATTACAACATCATAACAACATAGATGTTAACTTATAAAATGAATATATCAGTTATGGGAGGGGGGGCACCAAATATTTTAAAATTGTCCGATTACACAGGAAGTGCATACTGAAGATGAAACCTTATTTTATTGGTATTTAAAATGATTCTTTTTATGAATGAACATATTTTCAATGCTGTAAATACTAGTAATTGTTAGATGATCAAATTTCAATCTCCTTCACACTGAGGGATAGAAGGGTCTTGTCAGTGTTTTTCCCCTTATATAACTGGTACCAGTAAACGGTACCATTCCCAATGCCAAAAAACGTTAATTTTTCCCAAACTTGAGACTAAAAATTCCAAATTCAACTGCTGAGGAACAGACTACAATGACATTGTAATTCTTTTCCAAGTGAAACATTGTAAGAGTTAACTAAATGTTTAACTTTCTCTTAAATTGAAAGTAGAGATCAGTGGTAATATGGCGGGATGTGTGTTGTTGACATATGCTAGCATCTTACATTTTTGATGACTTGAAATCGTGACAACATGAGAACAAGGGACATTAATATGTACAACAATGAATACTTGATGATTATTCTTTAAAGCTTGAATTAATAGTTAGGTTAGAATAAACACGAAATAAATTTCATTTGTTGACATTACAGAAAATTCCCTTTTGTTCTATTTCGACACTACTTTTCCCAATTGAATCGGTACCAGACCCAATGGGTAGATAAAAATTTGCTGCTTGATAAAATTGTCAATTTTGTGTTTTGTTGGACATGGAACTTTTGATCTTGCCCCTGATTCAAAGGATAGAAGTATGTCTACATTTGTAATAATCACTTGTTCAGTTTGACAACACCCTCTTCAAATTATGTGTTGCTCCTGTCATATTAAATATACAAATTCTCTGTCTACACACACATATTTCAAGTAAGAGTATATTGAAGAAATGAATTTAATTTCTGAAAATTCATGAGGACATGAACTAGGACGCTTCACGTCGGCATATTTCATGAAGCACTTCATGATAAATATGCCGGTGTGAAGTGTTGTAGTTCATATACCTCATGAATCCTCAAATATTCAATTCATACCTTATATTTACATTATTTATCTGATGAGTTGCCGCAAATTATGCCATTAAACTATCACTGAATGAATTCAACTATCCACTATAGTACTGATATAAAGCACTGTATTATGATGAAACACTGCAGATATTTATGCTAATCCATGATAGTTCATGAGAAAATGAACTGTTTTCTAATTTGGAACTAATCTTAAGGGAAAGTAATTGGAATGTAAATACAATCAAATCTCATTATCTCGAACACAATGGGACTTGAGAAAAAACTCCCGAATATCCAAGGATTCAAAATAGGGCAAAATACTTCAAGAATGTGTGGTTGGGACTTGTCACTTCCAAATCACTTCAACATATCCATGGTATTTGAGATATCAGTGTTCGAGATACTGAATTTCAACTGTATTAATTAAGATATAGAACACTGTAGTACAAGGGAAATAAAAATATATAAAATAATACTAGGTGTGAAAAAATTACCATATTTACTTTTCATAATTACTAAAAACATTTCCCAATTAACATATCAGATTTGGAAGAACTTTATCACACAAGTGGTAATTCCAAGTATAACAGGATCTAATGTTTTTCAGTTGTAAAGATGGATCGATAACAAATTTAAAAAAAAAATGAGGAAATTTAATACAGTATAAAATGCAAAATTACTCGCAACTTTTTAATCATATAGTAAAGAAAATTCGGTCAATTAAAGACAACATAACAAAATGCACTAAAATTAGGCTTAATTGTGCTGATCTTGTTTATTTAATCTAAAAAGAACTTAAATACTTGCAGACGAGTATCTCAGACGCCGACAATTTAAAACGTTTTCGTAGCTTCATACCTGCTTAATGTACATTTTGCACGTTTTCCAAAGTGGTGCACACTAAACACAATACTGATCACCAATGCATTATGTTGATAAGACACGACATTTTTGGTACTTTTTGGTTGAAACTTCAGTGTTTCTGCTTTGTTTACAAATTGCAAATGGCGGTAAATTGCAAGGCCGCTTGAAACATATATAATAAAATAAATTTTCAGAGAAATTGTAGACTAAATGTCGGCACTGTGCACCTGTATTTTAATAAAAATATATTTGTAAGGTATACATCTTATTGCCGTTACTTTAAAAATAGTAGCAAGGAATATGTAACTATCTCGACAATATGTCATTTGCCTAGGCGACCTCTTCAAGACGCGGGCTTTTTCGATTTGACGCGCAAGTTCTGTAGAGTTTTCTCCCTTTGACTGCTAAAGCTGATAAGTTTTATTATTTTCAGATATTTTAGTATCTTCGTCAGTCAGGAACCTATTTCGGTGGTAATAAGCATTCAATTACAAAATTTTCCTAACAAGTACAATTGAATAGGGAATTTATGCAGTTCTGCTTTAAAGGTTCCTGTAATTTATTTAAATATTATACCAAAATTTTAATTAAATAATATTGAAGAGATATTTCTTTTCCAAATGTATGACATTCTGTTTTGGGCTCGAGCAAAAAGATGAGGTACCTAAATCAGTGGTATGATGCTTTTCAAAGGTCTCTACCTTCTTAAGTTCAGCACCAAACAAACAAATGATTTAGAAATTATCAAAATTAACATTGCAATTGATTTACAGAATAGTTTTAACAGACCTGTAAATATGTTTATATTGAAAGTGATGAATAAAATGTTCACCATATCTGAAAATTTCTTTTAAAGTAAAGTTGCCTTGGGTCCAGTGGTTACTCGATCTGTTCAGACAGCCAAACTGGGCTCACATGACAACACCAACTTTGGGCAAAAATCCTGATTACAGTCAAAACTGTTCTCTGTTTAACCTTTTCCAGCTGATATAAACTATTTTACAGTTTAATTATGTATTTATTGTAAATTTATTTACTATCTAAATGCAACCAGCCTTTAAAAATATACACATAGATCATATATCAGACATGAACTTTTTGGAGTCCCTTAAAATTTTAAATTTCTTTGATTATCAAATGACAGTTGCTTAACTTTTATGTACAGATGTTAAACTTTTGTTTAGATATTGTTTTTGATTGTACTCTCAACAAATTCAAATTTGATTAGTAATTTCAATCTATTTTTTTCTTCCTTTCAAAAATTGAGTAATTGTTTCAAAGTTAATCAAACACTGTTGTACCTAAATTGTATAAATTTTCTTACTAGTGATATTTTTACTTTTATATGACATACTATAAGCTACTTTGTTACCTAACATTATTCATATATTGATAAAATAAGTCAGATTTCCCAATATAATAAAAATCACCAGCTCAAAAGGAGATGCCACCAATTTAGGTACCCCACTGATTTAGGACCCTCCATGATATATTCTTTAACTTCACTGATTCTGTACATTGAGACTCCCTTTATAGAAATAAGGACAGGGGATACTTTCCCTGGATTCCCACTTTCGCATTTTCAACCCTTCTCTCTTTCCTCTTATTTAAATGCAAATTTATGCATATCCTCACATTCTAGAATATTGTATAAATGTATGAACTATGCCTTTACCAATTATTGTAAGTTGTGTTTGCAGCTTTGAGCCAATGAATATTTGTATTTGCAAATTCACAATGTTTAGTGTACACTAGCATGGACAAATCCATATTTTTTCTCAGTTAAACTGATTTACATTAATTAAATAAGATGCGAAAATTAAAAAAAAATTACACAAAAAGAAGGTGAATAAAAGCAGGATAATTGTTACCTGGTAACTGCTGGGAAATGGTCTATAGTAACATTGACTAATACTCAGAATGAAATAATTAAAAGCAATTAGTCAACATATGAAAACTAATATATGATGTCAATGAAATTCATAAACCATGCTAAATAGTGGGACGAGGTGGCTTTTGTATAAGTTTCATCTTTTCTGGCCCAGTGGTTCTTTAAAGGACTTTTTAAAAAATAACTTACTCAAAGAGCAAGAGCTACTTAGGGCCTTTTTTGGCCCTGAGAATTTCTGAAAAATTGAAACTGCTCAGTTTTGGTTGAAAATGCAGTATTTATAACTTGGACCTTTGGCCAAAAGTTGAGGTATTTTTTCAATATTTCATATAGGGCACAACCTCTGATCCAAAATATGCAATTACATAATGAAAGATCTGTTTCTGAAGATCACAAAACGTATTAATTTTTGGATCGTGGGCTGTGCTCATATTTTAATTCTTTGCTGAAGGTAGTCAAATATGCATGTTTTCTGCAAAATTCAAGAACATTGCATTTTCTCAAAGCCTGTTTTCCAATACCTGGATTCTCAAAAAGAAATTTTGTAATATGAAATAAGAGCGCTAAGTCTCTTCTTTATTTTGATATGTGAAATGGGACAGAGGGTAATAGTCAATTAATTGATATAAGGACAGGGTCATTTTATGCATAAAGTGAACCTAGTTCTTTTCACTAGATCTGAATTATTTCCCCTTGAAAGAGAGTGTATCCTTCATTTGAACAAACTTGAATCTTCTTTACCTATTAGAGGATGCTCTAATATGGCAAGTTTGGTTGAATTTTGTCTATTGGTTCTTGAGAAGAAGAGTTTATGTACAGAGGGACGAGAGTCGAAAACAGATAGCAATTAACAGACTGCAAAAACGACTCCGGTGACTTGATAAAATCAATATGATGTAATGTAACACTATTGGTTAACTTTACCGATATCATTGTATCATTATTCAAACAACCTTTAAATGATACAACAACTATTAAAGATGCATTAATTACATGTTTTTTATGGATAGCAGTGTCATTCATTCATCACTGATTCAAAATTTTGTCCACACACAAGTATTAAACATAGGTAATCAAAGATTACAAAACTCACCTTGATGAATGTTATCTATTAGTGAAGGCAATGTCTCTCATAATTTCAGTGTTCTGGCAGTGTGCATATCTAGATGCAAAAAGCCTGCAATTTTGGTCTGGATAGATTTTATAGTTTCTTGGGAATGTTCCAAAGATTTTAACTGTTTCAGTACAGGGTAGATCAGCCAGATAAGTCAGATGCTGCATCTGAAGCATGTTTGGTATAGTTTATCCCTAGATGCATCATCCATGCAACTTTGATTCAGATAGAGCTTATAGTTACTTGGGAATAGACCTACTTCAAAAGAGTAGGACAGGTCCAGCATCTGAAGCAAGGCTTATAGTTACTTGTGAATGGATTTGCTTCAAAATGTAGGACAGATCCAGCATCTGTAGCAATTCTGCAAGTTCATGCAATTCATGCAAGTTTGGTCACTGAAGGACATATAGTTACTTGGGAAGGACCTGCTCCAAAATGTTAAACCTATTCAGTCACCCTGAAAATGTAGGTCAGATCCAGCATCTGAAGCAAGTTTGGTAGTGTGTATCCCTATATGCAAGTTTGGTCCAGGTAGGGCTTATAGTTATTTGGCAGTGGACTTGCCCATAACTTTGACTGGGTTGCCGACACCGATGCCAACTCCAGGGGTATACCATAAACTCATCTGGACTTTGTCAAGGTGAGCTAAAAATTATTCAAATATATCATCACATGAAGATTTCCACTAATGCAACTATACCATCAGTGGCTTTTAATACCATTAGTGATTACTCAAAGTTCTTCATGACCTATGCCTCAGGTGAGCTAAAAACCATAAGCACTTTAAGCTCGACTTGATTCATTAATTCTATGTAATATTTTCTTAGTTCAGAGTAATTGGCCACAATGCTTACCCGAGTCCCCTTGCCTTAACTGAATGAACACCAATCTTGTATATTCATAACATATAATACCCCTCCCCCCTATGCAAATGTCACCAAATGCAATTCATTGAAAAACAACATTGATGAGTTGCTTGAATTTCAATTTTGATACATATTCATATACATCATTTTAGTATTCAATCATTATTCCATCATTTGTAAATAAGTATATGTCGATGTAGGGCATATTTCATCTGTGGGTAACCACATACTAAACACAAGAAATAGAATAAAATAAACATCCATTGATCAAGTATTTTATTAGATATCAACAAATATTGCTATTATGCATACATCACCAGATCAGATTTATATACATGTAATTATTAATATTCACAGCAGAAAGAAATAAACAATTAACTAAATTCTGGAATGAATGTTTATGAACAAAATTGTTTCATCCAACAACAGTAGACATATTTTAAAACAAAATTAAACTCCATATGGAATGCATTTTTTTTCTACTAAAGAATTTCCTTCTGCATTTGGAAAATTTCATCCTCCATTCCTTCTCATAAACATGATGTCCACAGGCTCAGACAGCCACCTAAGAGGCCAAATAAATATTGTGCAGTAAATTTTTCTCAGCTTATTTCTAATATATAATCTATAATACCATCATGCACAAGTTGTCAGCTAGATGTCATGAATTGAAAATGATTTTTGGAAACTGAAATAATTTTGGAGGTTCTGATTGTATCTCATTGTTTTTTTGTTTTGCTTTTTCTTTGGGGGGGGGGGGGGGGGGGGAGTATGCAGGCAGAGATCATAATACACATACTTTGTGTTCAATTATAGTTACTCTGACAAAACTAGTTCTGCAGTTTGAGAAATTTGAAGGGGCAGTGAGAGAGAGAGCACATATACATAATTTTATTCTCCTTCACCTATATGTAACATGTATTGAAATCAGTTCTACAGATTTACAAGTTCTGAAAATGTTCCAAAGTTTACGGATGTGTGACATTCACCTGTTCTATGGTAACTGAAGAGAAAAACACAAACCTATGTCACCTGAGTGACAAATTTTCACACCAACTTATCTTTGAGAGATAGGTATTTAGTATTTATAAACGAGACAAAATTTCATGAATTATGGTCATTGTTGTATATAATCTTTGATACTCAAAATATACGCCAGAATGAAATTTTTACGAGAAGACCATCTTGCGTAATTATGCAGAAATAAAGTTCTCAGGAATAATAAGTGATTTACAGCATTAAAGTATGATGAATATTACTTAGATCAATATACCTTAACCGTTTATATATCTACATATCTATTACTTAACCATTCACCATAAAAAAAGCGATATTACTATCAAGGATACAAGATACGTAAAATTCTACATACATATATAATTAAGTACATGTAAAACTTAAGTACAATGTACCATTACATCAACAAACCCTTGACGATTTACTTTGATATCCTCTTGTAGAAGCATCAAGATAAACACATGTACCTTACATTCCATAATAAATCTTGTTCAACATGGGGTAAAACCATTACTAAGACAATAACATTACATATGAACACTTAAGATGGCTTACATGTAATACAAAAGAAGAGTATTTTTTAAGTAGCTGCAGTTGTCTTTTCTGTAGTGTGGAAAATGTGAAATTAAAAAAAATACAACTGAACTGTTTGACACTTTAAAGCAAAGGGAATACCGGTTTTAAATACTGAGTACTCTGAAACTCAAATTTCATGACAATGTCGAACTTACAGCTAGTTAAATGTATTTAATTCGGTAAAATAATTTAATAGAAGAAAAACAATGAAAGAAATATGCTTCTGATGCAGTTAGGCTGAGTTTAACATAAAAATAATCTTAATCCGTAAGTTATTCTAAAAAATAGTTACCTGCACAAAAACGTACCAGTTATTAACTACATCTACACATGTATATTGAATATACAATAACAACTCAATAAAATCAACCACAAACTAAAAAAAACATGTATTGTTACATAATAACAGTGTAAATGTTAATGCACCAAATGAAATGATAAAAAAAGTCTGTAAAACTGCGTAGACTAGTCAAATTTGTGTACATTTCTAATGAGATTCAATTCTCCAGAGAGAAATTTCCTTAAAAAGAAGAAACTCCTTACATCTGGTTTTATTATGAGTGATAAATAAAAATATTAGTCATCATAAAATATGTTATTTATAAATCACATAATATCCCCCGATCTATGATAAATATAAAAAATATCTTTTCCCTTGACATCTTTGAAGTGTTTTTGATTTGTTTCCTATATGTAAAACTCCCATAAAATAAGGTGTGTAAATGGTCATTACCTTGGGAAAATGAGTAAATTACAGTAAAATGTTTAAAAAGATATAACTCTGCTAAAAAAAGTAATGAAAAAATAAACATATAACAACAAAAACAACTGAATATCATCAAATTTACACATTGTGATACACTGGCCGATTCTATTACTTTTATATTTACATTTCATTTCCAAGAAAGATTCTAACATACAGTAAATTTCTCTACATTACTACAATTATTTTTCTTTCCACCTGGGGCTACCTCCACCAAAAACAATATTATGCAGATAATATCTATATTTTATATTGGATAATATTTGTATGAAAAACACTGCATAGATTGAAAAAAAAAATATCAAACAATACAATACATAATGTACACATTTTTACAGAAACAGAAACCCATTGTGACAGCCTATACTTTCAGAATAGGGTTAACAAAGGTTACAAATATCCAATATAATAACATTATAATGACTATCAAACTTTTCCATTGTTGGTTAAAAATTATACTGTAGTATACAAGATTTCCAAACTTTCCACTGTTAGTTGAAAATTATTTAAACATATAAATGTACAAAATTAACCAATTGCAAAACAAAACAACCAAAAAAAAAAACACCCACCCAAAAATGAGTATTTTAAAAAACTGTCATGTTTTATAGCAAATAAAAATATAGCATTCATTTTTTTGTAAATAAATACTCTTCGAATAAGTTCTTATATTATATAACCTTCAATGGTTATCCAAATTTAAGTCTTTAAAAAACAAATACAAAACGTAATATCATGGTCATTTCTTTAAAATATTAGTATACAAACATTTAAACATAATTAAAAACATGTAAACAATTTTGATTTCTTAAATTGGCAAGTCATGGGCATTAAAATGAATAGCAAAAAAGAGATTTCTTTAATACACAAAAAATAAGTACTATATACACTGTATATGAAACTACTTCATTTGGCCTTCAAAAACATTTTTCATGATATGAAACGTCTATATCAGATTACCATAGCATTCATTAAAAATTCAATAAAAAATATGACTGGTCTCACAGATGAGTTAAGGCGTAGACACTGTTATGTACAAATCCACTTCCACATTTTGGGGGGGGGGGGGGGGGGGGGGTTGATATTTTTCACTTTTCCCTGCACTGTTTATATTTCTGCACTGTTCTGACATCATCTTCTTCAAACGCTCCACCTCAACATTTGATCCTGAATTTGTCTCTCAAGCATATACGATAGAAACATTGCAATCAGCTGAAATCATCCACTCACATGTTAATATTAATCTGTACATGGTAAAGTAAATTTGAAACATCTACTCCAATGATAGATCCGCAGATAATTTTTATTAAAAAAATTCAAGGAATTAAATTGCATCTAGATTTGCTATAAGCAATTCCTACTTGTTTTGAAATAAAGAATTTACTTGTACCTGTATGATAGCGATCCCAATGGTGATTCCTCCAATTATAGGCAGCTCTGTTTCCACCAGACCCAGAGCAGCATCAATACAGCCAATGGTATTTATAACAGAGATATCACCCCCCTTCAAAAAAAATAACATATTTCTTCTATGATTTCATTTTTTGGAGGAGGGATATATTTTGTCTAAATTTATTACATTTAAAAATGCCCAAATAAATTATGAGCATATAATCCATCTGAATAAATAACATTTAAATTGACGTGTTCGTTTTATGGATATGTTTCAAGAGTTAGAACAGTGTAGCACGGACAAAAAATACTTAGTTGAAAATTAAAAATGCATAAAAATCTAACCATCCAAAGTAACATACCCTTTTAAGGACTCCACTCCCACACAATATATTTGGAACTCCTGGCTACAAAAAAAAATCAATCAATCAAAAAATACATAAAAATACATAAAAAAGAGAAAAAAAATAATCAAGAAACCTTATGTGAAGAACTAAGACATTAATATCTATAGATATAACTGTAATTAAGTAAAAGTTGTCTTGTTGATTTGCTGTATCCACATTACAGGGTACATTTTCTTTATTAATTTTCAGACTTTTTACAATCAAAGTAGAATAAGGGACACTATGGCCCAGAAGATGGGGAAGGGGTAGCATGCAACTGTGGCCTTCCTGGATTTAAGGACATATGCAGCATACCTTACTGACTGATAATTTTTCAAGATATTCTTAATTTAAGATTATAGTGCCATCAGATGCTCGTAGACAAAAAATCAGCATGCATTACCAGGTGTTTTGAAAAGATATCAATTGATGAAAATTTTTGTATAATTCAAAAAAAAATATACAAAAATTACGAAACATATATACTAGATGTTTTGTTTATCCAAACTTGTTTTAGAAGAAGTGTACAACAGCATATAGAGACATTAAAATGTAGCAAACATTTCCTTTAAGTACTGGAACTTTTCAATTCCAGGGAAAAAGATGACTAAGTTCAAACTATGTTGCTTATGTCCTTAAGTTAACATCCAATCCTATCAAAACAAAAGTAGGAGAACTGCAACAGGAGTGAGGAACACTACAGACCAGAGGTGCAATTGTTAGTACAATTATAGTACTCATCAACAGAGTGTAACACTTACAAGACAACTGATGATAACTTTTACTTCAGAACATCCTGAACTTTACAGCAGGAGTGAGGCACACTACAGGCTAAAGGGCTAGGATTAGCCTGCTTGTACAGTTATAGTAGTCATCAACTCATCAATAGAGTGTTACACTTATTGTTGAACATCCTGAGCTTTACAGCAGAAGTGAGGAAAACTACAGGCCAGGGGTGCCATCATTAGTATTATTGTACTCATCACTAGAGTGTTACATTTACTGTCAGTATATCCTGACCTTTACTGCAGGAGTGAGTCACACTAAAGGCCAGGGGAGGGACAGGGGCTACAATAGCCTGTTAGTACAGTTACACAGTAATCACCATACTAACCTTTACAGCAGGAGTGAGGAACACTTTATGAAGGGGGGGGGATTAGACTTGCTATTGTTATTACATTTATAGCACTCATCAGTAGAGTGTAACACTTACTGTTAGAACATCTTGTACTTTACAGCAGGAGTGAGGAACACTACAGGCTAGGGGGCTAGGATTAGCCTTGCCATTGTTCGTACAGTTATAGTACTCGTTCTTGTTCCAGTCTCTGTAATTGTTCACTCCACAGCAACCCAGCTACAAATGGAAAAACACAAATAAACTTACAGGAGAATAAACAATGAATTAGTATTACATGAAAAATTCATAAATACCTATATAGATTTACAGCTTAATGGCTACTCTTTTATGAGAAATGAAGACAAATAATTCACATTTTAAAACAGGTGGAAAAATTTTCAGTCTTGTAATTTGTAACTTGTAATTTCTGTTTTGTAATTTACTGATTTTTTTCAAATTGTGAATCCTAATAAAAACAATTTTAATTTGTTTTCTGTTATATTCACCTCTTCCTGTAGCCAGTCTATGGTACTCTGTTTGTCTGGGTCATCCTGGTACGTAGTGATCAGATTATCTTTGAACAGGAGTGTAAACTTCTGTCTGAACTTGTCTTGGAATACAAATGCCAATACTGCACAAACTACCATCCCAAGAAATATTAACAGCATGGCAAAGTAGTACTGTAAAAAATTAAATAACATCAACAGTGAGTTAGGTATGTTTTATAATCATTCTCATAAAACAATAGATTGCACTTATAATAACACTTACAGTAAAACATGCTTATAGTGAACATGCTTATATTAAATTGACGCTTACAGTGAAGTGATTTTCATTCCCAATGACTTTAAAATATATTGTGAATCTAATGAATTACACTTATAACAAAGCAAAATCATCCATCCCTGGCACTTTGTGATGAGCAAGTTTTACTGTAAATGTTAAAATCAAAGATTTGTGTATCATTAAGCATGTTATGCACATAATTTTGGGTCAGCAAAGAGCCCAGATATTTACGAACTTCAATTTGAAATTCCACACAAGATAATTTTTCTTTTTATTTCACTAAGGTACTTACAAACTTCAAGAGGTAGATGTTTTCCCTGAGAGCACCGATACACCCTGCGTATCCCAGGATAAAGATAACAGCTCCAACGACCATGAAGATGATGGCAAGATCAAAGATGAGATCGTACACGGACTGTATTTCTTTGTGGTAATATTTGTGCTTTTCAATGTATGCCCAAATACCAACCCCTATAAGGACACCTCCAAACAGCTGAAATAACAATGATGCACATAATAGGTATAACATATAATTTGTGAATATTCCCACAAATTACTGATAAACAAGAGGCCCATGGGCCACATCGCTCACCTGAGTAACTTTGGCCATGCTGTTCTTTACCAGATCCCCCCCCCCTTGTAATACCTATTGTGGCCCCTCCCTACCCCCGGGTCCTGTTTGAACAATTTAGAATCTACACTACCAAAGGATGCTTCCACATATGTTTCAGCTTTTCTGGCCCAGTGGTTCTTGAGAAGAAGATTTTTAAAGATTTTTCCTATATATTTCAATGTAAAACTTGGATTCCCTATTGTAACCCTCGGGGGTCATGATTTTAACAATTTAGAATCTACACTACCAAAGGATGCTTCCACATAAGTTTCAGCTTTTCTGGCCCAGTGGTTCTTGAGAAGAAGATTTTTAAAGATTTTTCCTATATATTTCAATGTAAAACTTGGATTCCCTATTGTGGCCCCGCCCTACCCCTGGGGGTCATGATTTTAACAATTTAGAATCTACACTACCCAAGGATGCTTCCACATAAGTTTCAACTTTTCTGGCCCAGTGGTTCTTGAGAAGAAGATTTTTAAAGATTTTTCCTATATATTTCAATGTAAAACTTGGATTCCCTATTGTGGCCCCGCCCTACCCCTGGGGGGTCATGATTTTAACAATTTAGAATCTACACTATCCCAGGATGCTTCCACATAAGTTTCAGCTTTTCTGGCCCAGTGGTTCTTGAGAAGAAGAATTTTAAAGATTTTTTCCTATATATTGCAGTGTAAAACTTGGATTCCCTATTGTGGCCCCACCCTACCCCCTGGGGTCATGATTTTAACAATTTAGAATCTACACTACCCCAGGATGCTTCCACATAAGTTTCAGCTTTTCTGGCCCAGTGGTTCTTGAGAAGAAGATTTTTTAATGACCCCACCCTATTTTTGTCTTTTCTTGATTATCTCCCCTTGTAAGGGGACTTGGCCCTTTATTTTAACAATTTAAACTCCCCTTCACCCAGGAATACTTTGTACTAAGTTTGGTTAAAATTGGCCCAGTGGTTCTTGAGAAGAAGTTGAAAATGTGAAAAGTTTACAGACGGATGGACAGACGGACGGATGGACGGACAGATGGACGGACAGACGGACGACGGACAACGGGTGATCAGAAAAGCTCACTTGAGCTTTCAGCTCAGGTGAGCTAATAAAAATTAATACAATCTTGAATCTAGACAGCTTAATCTGTATATATGTCTTAGATATATACAGTGTATGTTAAATGAAAAATATAGATTAGTTAAGGTTTATATAATACAGTTATCATATTCTTTCAATGTCTACGTAGGCGAAAGAGTACTGGCACACAGTAATAGTTATATATATGCACACACATGTACCGGTATATGAAATAAAACAAGAGGCCCATGGGCCACATCGCTCACCTGAGCACATTGGCAAGGCAAAAGCTCAAATCAGTTCAGTATTGAAAAGATTCCGGGGGGAGGGGGGGGGGGCTTGAACTACCTGATGATGCTTCCATGTCAATATATAATTTGTTTTAGCAAATGGCTTTGTTGTACATGAGAAGATTTTAAAAAAAAATTCCCATATATTTCTCTGTAAAAATTTGATCCCCCATTGTGGCTCCTCCCTACCCCAGGGGTCATCATTTGAACAAACTTGAATCTACACTACCTGAGGATGCTTCCATATTAATATGACTAAACATAGCTTTTCTGTTCTTGAGAAGAAATTTTTTTCTATATGTTCCTATGTAAAACTTTTGATCCCCTTATTGGGCCCCACCCTACCCTCGGGGGTCATCATTTGAACAAAATTGAATTTACACTACCTGAGGATGCTTCCATATCAAAATGACTAAACATGATTTTCAGTTCTTGAGAAGAAGATATTTTCCTATATGTTCCTATGTAAAATTTTCGATCCCCCATTATGGCCCATCCCTATCCCCTGGGGTCATCATTTTAACAAACTTGAATCTACACTACCTGAGGATGCTTCCATATCAATTGACTAATCATGGCTTTCCAGTTCTTCATCAGAACATATCTTCCTATATATTTCTATTTCAGACTTTTATCCTCCATTGTGGCCCCACCCTACCCCTGGGGGTCATGATTTGAACAAACTTGAATCTACACTACCTGAGGATACTTCCATATAAATATGATCAATCAGGGCTTTGCTGTTCCTGAGAAGAAGATATTTAAAGATTTTTCCTATATATTTCTATGTAAAACTTTGATCCTCCATTGTGGCCCCGCCCTACCCCCGGGGGGTCATGATTTGAACAAACTTGAATCTACACTACCTGAGGATGCTTTCATATAAATATGACCAATTAGGGCTTTGCTGTTATTGAGAAGAAGATTTTTCCTATATATTTCTATGTAAAACTTTGATCCTCCATTGTGGCCCTGCCCTACCCCCGGGGGTCATGATTTGGACAAATTTGAATCTACACTACCTGAGGATGCTGCAATATAAATATGACCAATTAGGGCTTTGCTGTTATTGAGAAGAAGATTTTTAAAGGTTTTTCCTATATATTTCTATGTAAAACTTTGATCCTCCATTGTGGCCCCGCCCTACCCCCGGGGGGTCATGATTTGAAAAAACTTGAATCTACACTACCTGAGGATACTTCCATATAAATATGACTCATCATGGCTTTGCTGTTATTGAGAAGAAGATTTTTAAAGATTTTTCCTATATATTTCTATGTAAAACTTTGATCCTCCATTGTGGCCCTGCCCTACCCCCGGGGGTCATGATTTGAAAAAACTTGAATCTACACTACCTGAGGATACTTCCACATAAATATGATCAATCAGGGCTTTGCTGTTCCTGAGAAGAAGATATTTAAAGATTTTTCCTATATATTTCTATGTAAAACTTTGATCCTCCATTGTGGCCCCGCCCTACCCCCGGGGGGTCATGATTTGAACAAACTTGAATCTACACTACCTGAGGATGCTTCCACATGAGTTTCATCTTCCCTGGCTTTGTGGTTCTTGAGAAGAAGATTTTTAAAAGATGCTACTAATTTTTCACTAATTCTTCATTATCTCCCCTTGAAAGAGGGCGTGGCCCTTCATTTGAACAAACTTGAATCCCCTTCACCCAAGGATACTTTGTGGCAAGTTTGGTTGAAATTGGCCCAGTGATTCTTGAGAAGAAGTTGAAAATGTGAAAAGTTTACAGACGGACGGACGGACAGACAGACAGACAGACAGACGGACAGACGGACTACAGACAAAATGTGATCAGAAAAGCTCACTTGAGCCTTCGGCTCAGGTGAGCTAAAAATGACGATAGAACAAATGCTTTTACAGATGTTTAAAAATGTTGTCAGTAAGAGTCTTTGATTATTATTTGTTTAGAAATCTATCTCCAGTCAGTACATCTTTTCAGTTGCATATGTTACTCTAGTGAATCATATTCATTACTCAATCCATTTTTTCACAACTTTAGCATAATTTCTAGAATCACTGCCACAGGCACTTGTTTCGTATACGGGGTACCCCTACTTATTTTTACCACAAGGTATCTAACTCTTCAAGCTCGTATTTTGTTAATATATCAATCATTAACCTACTTTAAAATGACATCATTCGCTTCAAGATACTTTTTTCTTGTCAATTAAATCATTTCAGACGTCTCTGGTCGAGCCTTTTTATTGTAAACCACTTATTTATTCCTCGAAATACAATTTAAGACTTTAGATGGGATACAACTTCCCATCTTGACCAGAGACGTCTGAGACGATTTAATTGACAAGAAAAAAGTCTCTTGAAGTAAACGATATAATTTTAAAGTAGGTTAATGATTGATATATGAACAAAATACGAGCTTGAAGCAGGGGTGCCTGAAAGTGAGTTAGGTACCTTGTGGTAAAAATAAGTAGGGGTGCCCCGTATACGAAATAAGTGCCTGTGATCACTGCACCTATTTTAACAAATTTAACTGCATATATATACCACTCTTGAATTAAGGAGAATAAAGTTTAAAACAAAGGACCTTATTCCATTCCATGGGAAACTAAAAGTGAGCATACCGGTAAAGTGACTTTATTTAACATACCATCTCTCCATACATGTAACTAACAGGGAATTATTTAATCTTAGACTAATTATAAATCCTGGATTTTCAGAAAATTTTGAAATCAGGTGTAGTGCCCGAAAACTAACTTAGTTTTGCTTGAAATTATCAGTTTTCACTGTAGTAGATACTGTCTAAATGGGTAAGTGTGTATATAAGAAGCTAATATAATTGAATTATTGTTTATTTTTATTCATTCATGTTTTTATTGTCTTCCAATTTCATATTTTTATTGTTTATTTTCAGTCATAATTATTATTTCTAGGGTAAATGTCTTTTATACAGTGTATCTGGTGTTCTAGTGTTGTATCTGTAGAAAATAATGACGCATGCGCAGATGGGGGTTAGTCGATGCCTGGCATCAAAAATCGACTAACCCCTATATACGCATGCGTCATTATTTTCTCGCTAAATTCTGCAGTTTTCTGCAATCAAACGGCGATATTAAAATAATCCATCGAATGTCCGTCATTAAATTATCCTACGACTCCACTGTTATCGCAAAACGTTCCTTCCGAGTTGTAGATATCCATTAAACATTGCCAACAACGCACGGCTTCATAGTCCCCATGAATGAAGACCCGACTAAAGAAATAACTCGCAGCAAACGAAAATACATACCGATGCGTATTCAGCACGACAACTGCAAACACCTACATATGTTTTCACAACCGTAACAACTTTTAAATCCAACGAAACGCCCAGAAAAACGCAGCGATGTAAACACTACCAAACTTACAGCAGCTTCCTAATGCAGACAACCACTACTCGACGTCACAGTCGTAAAATACGACGTCACATGTACACTCTTTTCCCGAACTTTTCTAAAGCAAAATGGCGATTAAGCATTGTACGTAATATAAGGCATACTGT